TAAGTTAGAAGTATTATGAATACACTATATTTAGAGAAAGAAAGAGAGATAGATGTGTGTGTGTGTGTATATATATATTATATATGTATATGTACAATTGGTTTTCCTCTTCCGGGAAGTTTGTAAATAACGGTGGTAGTTACCTTTAAATTAACTTTCGCGTTACAAATATTAGTGAGAATAATAAATCATAAAATCGGTCCATTCGTTTATATATTTACAATTAAATTGGTGTATTTTCGAGCGATCGGACGGATTTTCAAGCGATCAGTGTTCGGGTAAGTGTTTCCGATGTGAAAGTTCCTTCATTAGAAATTAAAATAAATGAAGTGTGTTTGGGAATGTTAAGCAATCGTTTACCAACGATTTTAGAAATCCTTATGAATTATTGAATTTTCAGATCGATTAGTTTTTAAATTTATTTTCAGAGTAGCGTCCTTGTTAGGTTAAGGTACCTTGTCAACATCGGTCAAGTGGTTTAGGAATAACTAAGTATTGAATTAAAATTGTTTTTATTTTTCGTTTTTACATAGTCAAATGTGTTTAAAATAGTAATGATCAAAATTAATTTTTTATATTATGTGTTTAGAAATTTAAACAAATTTTATTTATTTATGATATTAATCGGTGATACGATAATGCAAATATTTAAGCAAATGTTATTCTTTTTATTCATATTTTATTCATACTTTCTTTTTCTTCTTTTATTATACAACAGATTTCCTAATTTAGTTGTTATAAAATGATGTCTTGTAAATTGTTAATCGTATAATATAATGTGTTTGCGATTAGAAGTCAACGTAAAGAAAAGAATATGATTTACTTAAGATTTGTATTAATGGATTTATTATAAATTAAATTTTGTAGATATTACTTTTACAATATTAAGATATATCAGTAAAAGTGATTGAATGAAAAAGTTATTGTTTTATGGCTTAATATATAAGAATGGTATATATGTTCGCTATGTTTTAAGAGTAAGCGACATTGATAGTTTTCCAACCTGTTTAAAGTCAATAAAATTTGCTTTAACCCAGCTATCGACTCAAGAACCACCTGTTAGATTTCATCTAAATTTAGAATTCAGTGGTAGAGAGTCGGTTAGAATATTCTATAGATACTTTGGATCTGCCAACGCTCTCATATTTCTTTCAAAGGACAGTATGCACCGGTTTGAATGTACTTGTTTTTTGTATTATTTGTTTCCATTTTACTACTCACCTTTAATAAAATTTATACAACTACTCGATTACTGTAACTTTGCCCGAGCTGGTTGTAAAGTAGAAATGTATAAGTATACTCATACCTTTTCAGACTAACATACATTTCTTTTTTATTTTTTTTTATTACAGGCTAAAGAAATTAAAAATATATAGAGAAGATACATCCATTAGAAGAAATCACAATATGGCCAATAGAAGGGACAAAGCTTCAGGTGGATTTGTAAGTAATATGCTAATCATTTTGCAAATGATTTTTTTAAATTACAAAATTATATTTTTGTATGATATAATATTCAATTACAATTCCAAATTATACTTTGGATATTGAAAGGAATAAAAACGAAGGGGTGGGGGGTGTTTGTGGGAGGGAAGGGGATATGAGAGAGAAATCAATTAGAAAATGGATTATAAGCAAAAAATTATTTTCTCTAAAGAGTGGTAGAAATAAAATGTTACAGAATTAATAAGTTCAAATAAAAAAAGGGAATTTATTTATTTATTTTTTGTTTTGTTTTAAAGTAACGAGCAAGTGAATGCAATTAATTCTCGTTATATAGAATGTTTCTATAGAATATTTAAGAAATAACTCATCATAGAATTCACTATAGTTTAGTGTACATTACGTTTGCGAGATTATCGTTCACCATATACGTATAGTTTCGTTTTTATAGTGCATGCTCTGTCACCTGTATATTATATGAATATGTATATTTATGTATGCGTGTACGTGTGTACGTGTGAACGTTCGTCTTATCACGTACAACATTTCATAACGAGAATGTTCGTACAATAGAGAGGTGCTCTGACTTCTACCGGGCTAATACAAGTATATTTAACGTGAAAGGTATGTCAAGATATGCCAGTTCTGCTGGTAGTCAGCGTCGAGGTATTATCGGTGCCGAGGCATACGTGACCAATTCTTTAATCGTTTTTCTTTTTCTTTAAAAAAAAGATGATTTCTCAGTTGTTGTTTTTTTTTTAAATTTTTCCATCAAGATTAAAAATAAAGTCAACACACACACACACACGAGATAGTGATATTTTAGTAATAAAGTTTTATATTTTATTTTATTGATGTTTTTGTTTTTTACATTGGTAATAAGAAAAAAAAGAGTTGTATAGACGTTATCGTATTTTTTTTTCGAGTGCAATGATTTTAATGTTTAGAAGACAAAAATTGATTTATCATCTTTTATGAGAAGGAAGAGGAGGAGGTGGAATGTAATTAATTGTACGTGAATTCACACATATGTATATATATATAAGTAAAGTATATATATAGATATGTGATTTTTTTTTATCGAGAAAGGGAAAGTATAGAGATAAAGACGAGTAGATATGTCTCTTCTGACAAGCAATTTAATTTGAGAAATGTATGTTTCTTGCACCGTGTTACCGACGTTGAATTGTCGTTCCATCAGGCTAATTGAATGAATTAAAGTCATTCGTAAAGAGAACGTCTATGTATTATGTTTTTTTTTTAACACCTGGTTCTACGAATCGTGCAGTACCTTTACTTTGTTCTATCATTGTATTAATCAAAAAAGGTTATCGACGATGAAAGGATAATGACAGGAGTGGTTATTTAATAAAGACTTCTAAATTGCCGCAGTAACGACAAGTTTCTTCTCGTAAGAGTTAAAGAGTGAATCGTGTGTTTGAAGAAGATCGAAATGTCGACGACGATTAAAAGACGGAAGACTTGGTACAATAAAACCGAGGCTGGCATTAAGGTACGCTAATGGAATATTTTTTTTTCTATACAAAATTTTCATTTTATTTTAATATTATTCCATTGTATAATTTTATTTTGATTTTATCCTATATTTTGCTTATTTTATTTAAATATATAATATTGTATTTCATTAATATAATTTTTTTTGTATTTTATTCAATTAATTATCAATTATATTGGAATAAATTTTTAAATTTATATTTGTTTTTCATCTGCAATATATTATGCAATGTAAATGCGAATGAAATAACAAATATAATAAAAATATATAATACTACCTTTGAGAGATTATACATGGAATACTTTTACAGAAATCGTGAAACAACACCTTGCGATAATCGTCGAATCATTTTCTTATCGTTCTCGTATCGTTTAGAGATATCGTAGCGAGCTTTTATGTATCGTAGGAAACAAAACGCGAAACTTGTCGCTACTCGACGATATTATTTCATATGTAGGCATACGATGCGTTTCCTGTTGCTGCTTTATTTATCATTTTCGTGCTACAGCAATATGATATTTTCTATTCCATTTCAATCTGTTTCCCGATTCCTTAGAATCGTATTTATACATATTTATTTCGTTACATTTCGTTCATTATCGATTTTCAATGTTCTTTTCGCGAAACTTTCTTCGCGTTCTGCTTTCATATTTAATCGAGAAATCATTAGCTCCTACGCGTTAAAACATAATCAACTTTTCACTCTTACTTTTACCTTTTTTATTCTTTCAATTATGATTTAACTTTTTAACTCTGGCGTTTTCTAATTTATATTTGCACGTATGTTGATGTTTATTTAAATATTTTTGTATATATTAATGAATATGAGCCAATATATTTATATATGTCGATCTAATACGATTCATATGATTTAGAAATTACAACCGCGAACAACGAGTATAGTTTGTATTCGTATGAATTTGTCAAAATATATAATAGGAAATACCTTGGACAGTAGAAAAGTTGGTTCAAAGTCACTTAGTTAATTCACATTCATTTATGTGCATCTGTTATGTACATATATATACTTTATGTACGATGCAAGGTTGAAACATTGTCATCGAAGTTTGTGCTAAAAAGATATTCCACGAGATCTAGGTGTTCATGTATACAAGGTGTTTCAAAAGGTCAGAACCAAATTTATACCACGTATTAATGAAATCAAATAGATCAATAAAGTTCATATGCATTTATGTTTTCACAAATGCTTTATTGAACAGTTAGATAAAAGGGTTCCAATATTCCCAGATAAATAAAAACAAGTGATGAAAATCCATATGCAACGCGAACTTTGCAGTATATTTTGAATATTTTATACCTATAGTATTCATTTTCAACAAATTTATAGGAGGAAGCCAATATGTCTATCATAATACTAACATACAAAAATATTAATGAGTCACAAACTTTTGATCTTTCGGTCTATGTCCATTAAGGCATTTTTACTCACAGTATAGTTTTTTTTTTTAAACACTCTGTATATGATCGAGAACGATCGTTCGATTCATGGAAAAAAAGATTAACGTTGCCATGGCCACCTTTTTCTCGTATTGAAATTTTTTACTCTTTTAATGACGTCTTTAGATATTTATCTTGAGTCTGCTTCTAATTATAATTTAAATCGAAAGAGAAACTTTTTTTTCTAAGTTTATCTTTTATCATTATGTGAGATCTTCTTAAAAGTTCGTTTACATTGCGCTCAATTTGTTTATATTTTATGCATATTTATTAAACAGAAGGATGTGAATACGTCATATTATATGCGTAAGTGTGTGAATTATAAACATGATATATGAGAAATTGATAAATTTATATAATGTTATTCTTCATTTATATAGCTTTCGTTAGTGTTTGTAAATGACTTGAATTCATTTTAGAGTACATGATGCGAATTTTTCACAATCAATTAATAATAGTTATTAATTTAATGAGATTACGGAATAAAAAAATATTAATGTTTAATGTAGTTTATAATACGTTACATACTATATACACAATAATTTAGTTTTTTTATTAAATTTCGTAAAAATATTATGATAAGATAGATAAATCCATGAAAATGTATAAAAAGATAAATCCTGCACATCCAAAATTTATATTATATATTATTTATAATAATTTTATTAATTCATTTTTCAATGTTATTATAAATAATCCTTATAGATATCTAGAAACTATTCAAATATTTAAAGTATATACGAATTGTATATTTCGTTATCAATATTTAATTGAAAGAATCTACTGCGAGGCAATTATCATCCATGTTCGTTCGAAGGAAACGGTTAAAAGATAATTTCAAGTTGAATATAGGTCGAGGAGTTTGTTCTTTTTAACAAAGACGTACTTATATACTTCATATGATATTTTCGTTACGAAAAATGTTACCTTGAGACTTGCTCGTAAATCAAAGACTCGATCGAAATGGGATAACATCGAAATTATCGAATGCAAGGTGATGGAGAGAGTATGGTAAGTTTGCGAGATTGCTGATAATCGATGTCAGAGCCATATGTATCTACTTACACAGTATATTCACACAACTCTATATGTATGTAAATTTATATATACGTATATTTGAATGTCGAGAAAACCGGTCCTTTCATCTTGCATTCCACAGGGACAGCTAAGTTTTTATTTAATTTTAATTCATCCAAATATTTTTATATTTCTATACGTATTACAGTTCTATATTTTATCGTAAATATTTGAAATCCGTTATATCATTAATTGATTAGTTAAAATGAGAAATATATGTTCTTCGTAAAATATGACGTTTCTCTTTTTTCTCATTTTCAATTCTATGGAATTTACACAATCAGTTTATATGAGAATATTTTTATTCTATATATAAATATTTAAGATAATTCTTTTTTTCTGCAAACTCTATTCATGATAATATAGCGGTTAAAAATATAGTATGTAAAATATAATATACAGTATATCCTTGTAGAGTCAATTATATGGAATTTTGTATATTGTCTAAGTTACTGATATATAATGTTAGGAAATTCCGATAATGATGATTCGTCAGTACCATTTTGGTTCTAAACGAGGAGTCATCTATCGACGAATTTGGACTGGTACTTTTTGAAAAGTGAACTCTCGTGCAACTTAGAATACGTATTTATATACATACTTACATCATCGACTTCTCGAGAATGAAATGATCTCATCGTTGTCATCATAGTTGTATTCGTATATTCACTGTGTGTTCTTAGTTCGTGATTTTATCATTTTTATGATAAGTTCGTTGATCTTTGATGTTAGTTTCTAACGATTTAAGATAATCAACTTTGCTATTTGTTCGCTTGATAAACCAACGAGTGATTAATATTTTTTTTCTTTCGATTCTCTGTAATACTCACCCCTTATTAGGATTCTTGTTTGTGTGAATGTATTAGTATATACTTGTGTCTATGTGTATAAGAGAAAAGAGAGAGAGAAAGAGGTATGTATGTGGTACAAAATACATGAAACACGTCATCGTATAGTAAAATATATATCCAGCTACATTTGGCGTATCACTTATGTACTGTCGTTACGTAATATCTAAGCCACGTTAAAAAAAAATGTTGATACATGCTTGTAAGACAAGTATAAAATACATGTAGTAGTATACATATATATATACACTTTGATATAAATGTTTATGTGTATTATATGTTTGCTTTAAGTATAATATATATCTAATATGTGCGCTTGCACACAATCTCTGTTATATTTGTCATTACATTCTTTTTTCTTAGATATACTTATCTTTATTTTATATTTGTTTTTGTCTTTTCTCTTACATTTATTAAATTTTATTATATGTATTTATATTTTACGTACATATATATGCATATAATATAAAATCCTAGGGATAATTCGTATTTTCATTGTCAATTTAAAACAATTAATATTTTCTTTGTATTTACATATAAGTAATTAATATTCATACACATAAATGTGTATATATATTTATGCGAATGAGATTTCTTCGAATAATTTACAATGTATTATTCTTACTGGAACATTGAAAAATTTCTCATGAATTATGATAAAGTGTAGCACAAACAGATCGGTGTTTGCGATCACTGTGCAATGCCGTTACACATTGAAACGAGATCTTATTCTTATCATTCGACCGCATCTGCGTGTCTTGAAACCGGTATAAATCGATACAGTTGGCAATAACGACATTGCCGAGCTCCTTTTCAAACAGTTCGAATGTGTTCTTATTTATTTATTAGGTGCAGAAATTAATTCGGCGTCTATTAAAAATAAATACATATGATTTTTGTCATCTCGTTTACTAATAGTTTTTCTTTTGTTTAATTGTGTTAAATGTTTAATATAAATGTAAGTGTTAGTAATTAAAAGTTATAAAATGTAACGGAAGATTATTTAAATTCACACACACACACACATAATCCAAAGTTATAAATAATTTATAATGTTAAGTCACACTGAAATTAATTTTTACATCTAATACTCTCTTACCATTTTATAAATTTATTATTTACGCGTTATTATTCGTAATGCATAATGATAATAAAAAGAAGATTCGAAATTAATCTTTATTTTGTATCTTTCGCAACTGACACATTCAACGTGTCGAGATTATAAGTTATTTATAATGGAAAAAATATTTCGTATAGTTTTATCGCGAATAAACACGCACGAAATTTTGATCAAACGACTAAGATATTTTTCTAATCGTTTTTAAATGATGGCATTAACGTATATCAAGGTAGACACGTATTACGAGCTCTTATCGTTATTAAAAGAATTATTGAATTTTTTTTCTATTTGTGTGGTTTAGCGTCATTCGATTATAATAAACATTGTAAAAATTTGTGGAATAAATATTGAGGTCATATGTATCTTTATTTTTATATAAAAAGAAGAAACAAAAAGAAAAATCAATAGAAAAATAAATGTTCTAAGTGTAGAAGTGTTTGAGAAAATAGGAAAGAAAAAAAAAGAAAAATTCTAAATGGAGAATTTAAAGGATT